ATAATCGCGAAAAACGAAAGTGCCAAAAAAAATTAATTTAATTCATATTTTATAGGCTGTGGGAGAAGGAAAAATGCAATTCTGAGCCTTGCATCTGCCTATAGGGAACCCAAATTTCACGTCCAACCACTAAACGAATATCAACGACTAAATGATTCACCTGGCACAATTAAATCCAAATCATGTGTCGCCAGAGTAGCTGCATTTCGCTTCTCACAGATTCCCTCATGCAATTTCGTCTGCAGTTGAATGAACCTCTTGAAGTTCTCGTCAGTGAAATTGAGATTACGAACAATGCAGCAGACGATGTGAGGTCTCACTGACTTCACGTTCTCCAGGATCTTGATGACCCTGCTGTCATCAGACACCCTGAAGACAGTCAGCTGATGCGTGAGTGCCTCGACCTCTTGGGCGGAATGTTCACTCTCTGAGGTTTTACTCCCTTTTTTATCCTTCTTGCCCTTCCCGGACTGGCCGGAGGAGCTCTCTGACTTGGCGCCATGTTGCTTGACGTAATCAAGGACTTGTTTCGTTCTGCACTGGTCCACGAGCTTGTGGAGCCTCTTGTCGTGAAGTTTATTTCCTTTTAGATTTAGTTCTTTCAGCTTTAGGCAATCTGCCAACTCTCTAGGTACATCTGGAGAGAGAAATAAAGAAGGCAAGGATTTTTATTTTTTGATGGAAGTTGGGCTTGAAAATGAAAGAATTTTTTGATTGAATTTTAATGGAACTTTGATAGAATTTTTATAGAGTTCCAGAAGAAATTGAATAGAATTTATTGAGGAAAACTGCATTAGCACTAGCATTTTCGATTAAATTTTGTCATTTGTCACCCATTATCAAAAAAAAATTGAATTTTTTTGAAATCTATTGGAACTTTGTAAGAATTCTATTGGTGTTCTATTACAATTCTATCTGTTTTTTGCGTCAATTCTTTTGAAGATTATACGGCTTCACCGAGACATTTTGTTGAGAGACATTGGATGGAAACAATTCAATGGATTTTAATTTTCATATAGAAATACTTGGGATCTTCAACAGAATTGACGCAAGAAACAAACAGAAGTTTTTTAATTAATTTGTTTTTCAGAAGCTGTATAATCTTGAATAAAATAACGCAAAAAATTAATAGAATTTTCATTAGAGTTCTAACAGAACTCCAATGGAATTCCTACAGAGTTCCAAAATAAATTCAGAATTTCTCCACCAAAAAACAAAAAAAAATTTGTTTAAATTAATTTACGGAAATTAATTCAAGTGTTTTTAAATTAATTTAAAAAACCCTAATTCAAGTGTTTTTGAATTAATTGTTGTTCTTTCAGAAGCTATATAATCTTGAATAAAATAACCCCAAAAATAAAGATAATTTTCCAATAGAATTGTAATAGAACTACGATAGAACTCTTATAGAATTCCAAAATGAATTCAACGCAAACAATTTCTCGACAAAAACAGTAGCTTTTAAATTAATTTTAATCTGTTCTCCCCCATCACCCAAAAACCCTGAGTTCCCCACCTGCAATGCAATTATCAGCCAAGTCGAGTAGCTTCAACGAAGGCAGGACCTTGATTCCCCCAGGGATCTCCGTGATCCTGTTCCCATTGACCCTGATCTCAGCGAGATGCACGAGCTCAGCATAGCAGACGTCCGGGAACACCTCGAACTGATTATTGGAGAGGTCCAGAGCCGCCAGCTTGACATTCATCCTCTGACAGGGCAGATGGTCGAGCATGTTAGACCCAAAGTTGATGGTCATGAGTTGAGGGAAGTTGGAGAGCTCCTCTGGGACGTCCTTCAGCTGATTCCTGGAGCAGTCGATGACCTTCAGCTTCGTCAGGGCCTTGATCTCCTCCGGAATGCTGGAGATCCTGTTGGAGTGGAGGACAAGGGTCGTCAGGTTCTCCAGCCTCGAGATGTCCTGGGGGATCGTCTCCAGGGAGGTCTGGCTGATGTTCAGGTAGTTCAGCCCCTGGAGGTGGAAGATATTGTTGTCCAGGCCCTTTTCAGCTATTCTCTGGGACACTTTGGCCCCTGAGAGCACCAATTCGTGTCTGTTCTCCTTCCATATCTGGGACACTTCGGTCCAGGCTGTGGCTGTGTCCATCGTGGACACTCGATCACTCGTTCAATCTAACAATCGCCCTGATTAATTATCAGGTGTGTCTGGGGGGCTGGGAGGTTATCACACCGGCACGTTGTGTTTTCATCCAACACATAAGCACTAGACAAACTCACGACAAACTGCTGCTGCCACCTGCCGGTAACCAGGAATTCGGGATGGGCTATGTTTTAAAAAACATCGATTATCGAAGAATCGATGTTTTTCAAAAACATCGAATAATATGTCAAATAATAAATAATCGAATAATATCGTATAGTAAACATCGAACATGCAATCATTGTTAAAAATTTAAGTTGAAAAAAAAATTTTTTTCAAATTAATTGGACTTGTTCACTTATCATTTATAACATAGTGCATACTGTAAAAAATCATTACTTCCGATTGTGGATAAATTATTATTTTATTTATTCTCAATCAATCAACATTATTTATTCGATAAAAAAAATGAAAAATTTTGTTAGCTTGGTCAGAAACATCGATTTTGGAAAAAATAATCGAAAATCGATTAATCGGCCTTTGAAAACATCGAATGAAAAACATCGATGTTCGGGCAGAAACATCGGTTTTCGATTAATCGACAAACATCGCCCATTCGTACCAGGAATTCGAGAAAGTGATGTTTTTTGGTTTGAAGGGAGTTCTGGTCTATTTGTCAACATGGTCAGGGGGAAGGAGTGTGAATTTTGAGGGAATGAGTGAAGTTGTTTGGGATTGTCGAAAAGAATTCGCTTATTTGGAAGAGGTTTTTAGGGTTTTGAGATGTGAAAGGGTCAGTCGTCAGTGGTGAGTCCGTGGATTCTAACCTTAATTTTTTTATAATTAAAAAAGAAGACGAGTAAATAAGTGTGAATATTCTCTTTCTGATCTGGAAAACGGTTTGATTCAGATTTTTTTTTAGTTCAGTTGATCATTGTTTTGAATTTCATGAATGGATTATTGAATGTATGAAAGAATTTCGTAGGAAAAACTTGTGTGTTCGCTAGACAATTCTTTTGGATTTCTATTGAACTTCTTGTTACCTTTTGACCGATTCTGTTGAAATGTTCCGTAGAAAATTTCAATATAATTCGATTTTTCTATACAACTAATTTTTTTCAGATATTTTCTATCAAATTCCGCGGCTCAAATTTTCTAAGTCTTTTTCATTCTATTTTTCTTCTCTTTTCACCAAGAAAATCAAATAAAAAACGGGGAAAATTTGAGGCGAGGAAATTGTATAGAAAATATCTCAATAGAATAAGTTATATAGAAAAATCGAATTCTTTTGACTTTTTCTATTGAATTGTTCAGGAGAAAATATTCAATAGAATCGGCCAAAAAGTAATAAAAAATTCAATAGAAAATATTCTATGGAAAAAGCCAACAGAATTCCATTTTTCTTTACAACGTATTCTATTGAGATATTGTCTAATAGAATCTCGAATTTTCGGCTCGAATTTCCCAAGTTTTTTTGTTTCATATTCTTAATGAAAACAAAATCAAAATAAAACAAAAAAATTTAAAATAAAATTTTATACGAGGGAATTCGATAGAAATGACCTCAATAGCCTGAATTGCATAGAAAAATTGAATTCTATTGCCTCTTTCTCCAGAACATTTTTCCTGAACAGTTCAATAAAACCCACCAAAAGCAGGTAAAAACTTCCCCACAAAAGAAATAGAAACCCCTCTACCGAATGGGTCCCGACCTACCCCTCCCCCACTGCCCTCCACCTCAGACCAAGAATTTCGTTTTCCAGATAAAAATCCCGACCCTCGCTATCAAAAATTCTCCCTGAATGCCTGACAATGCCGGGAGCAAGACGAAACCCCTCGAGAAATGGCCCGGGGCGGCTGCTGAACGTCCCCTCCCCCACGTCCCCCTCGCCGTCACCCCCCCAGAGCGATGACAAGAAGCAGGACTCCCCAAACGGTAGACTCCTGGCCCCCAAGCACGTGCCCATCCCAGCAGTCCCAGTGGACGATCAGCTGACCTTCGAGGCCCTCTCACTGGGCATCTCCATCCTGGCAGCTTGCCTCCAACTCCTGAACCTGTACAGAACAGTCTGGTGGCTGCCCCAGTCGTACAACGACTACAGCATGAATTTCTACCTCATCGACCCCTACCTCCTCGCCTTCATCTTCACGATGGTGGCCAGAAGGTTCGTCTACGCACTGCTAAGACGATTTATCGACGCTGTCAGCCCCGCCAGATGGCTGCCAACCACCCAGAGAACGATGAGGATCATCCTCCTTATTTTCGTCGTGCTGATCCTCCTGTGGTGCCTCTACTACATGAGCGAGAGACACAACTCTATGAAAGTTTTCTATCTCTGCTACCCCAGCATTTCCGTCTACTTCCTCATGTTCGGGGTGAGCATTGGACCCTTCTTCGACATCTCGACAGCTCCACTTTACGTCAAGGAGGACAGGAAGACGAAATTCCTGCTGGATAAACCGCTGCACAACTGCTCGCTCAATGCCCCTGCCATCAGGGCTGAGGTCTCCAGTCTGCGCTCGGATTTCAACAGGAGGCTGAAGAGAGCACTGTTCGCTTCCTCAGGGAGCGCCTATGTCTGCGGAATTGCTCCGGTTATCTTTGTCCCCCAACACCTGCACTTCAATTTCACGTGGGTCGTGCAGCATATTGTGCTCTTTTGGCTGGGAAGGGTCAGCGCACATTTCGCACAGGCGTATCCTGTCAGGTGATTTTTGTAGCTCGTGTGAAGAAAATTTCATTGGAAAACGGAATGTAGAATGACTGTTTTTGTATTAGAAATGCAACTTTTTGGTGAATTTCTTCGTGTGCGAAAACCTCGCTGTTATAAAAATCTAAATTGACTTGTGGTGATGAAAATTTGGTGGTCGAAATTGAACTTCAAAATTAGGGATGACAAGGGTCAAAATAAGGGTCATAAGGGTCAGAATAGGGGTCACAAGGGTCCTAATAAGGGTCACAAGGGATCACGAGGGACTTGTGGTGATGAAAATTTGGTAGTCGAAATTGAGACTTCAAAATTAAGGATGACAAGGGTTTTAATGAGGGTCAGATTAAAGGTGCAAATGAGGGCCATGAGATTTAAAGTAAGGGTCAAAATAAGGGTATAAATATATCTCTCTATATTATAAAAATTTTAATTGACTTCTGCTGATGAAAATTTGGTAGTCGAAATTGAGACTTAAAATTAAGGGTTACAAGGGTCAGAGTAAGGGTCCAAATAAGGGTCATGGTGTCAAAATAAGGGTCTCAATAGATCTCTCTACATTATAAAAATCCAAATCGACTCCTGGTAATGAAAATTTGGGTCACAAGGGTCAGATTAAGGGTTCAAATAAAGGTCCAGGGGACCAGGGGTCTAAATAAGGGCCATAAGGGTCAGAATAAGGGTCACGAGGTTCAAAAAAACTAATAAAACGTTCAATAGAAATTCAATAAAATTGTTTCGCAAATTCACGTTTTTCTATTAAATTTTTTCGTGCGTGCAATTCAAAAAATTATTTTCATCTCCTTGTTGAGAATGAATTTAACGAACTACATACAATTTATCTGAATGTAGTTCGTTGAATAAATGGTAAAATGTGAATGATGAATTACAACTTCTCAAAACTAAAATAGATCGTTTTAGAAGATGTTCCAATGGAATTGCTCTTCGATTCGGTTCGCTGTGTGTGAAATTAATTCCTGAATGTTTTGGAAATGTAGATATTGCGATGTTCTGCATCGAGCGGCACTGCACCTGGGAAAATGGGCGAAAGTCGAGGGGAAGAATGTTCACATACCGTCGCAGCTGTGGAGTGACTCTGTTCTGTGGCCCCACGGATCTCTCGTGAAGTATAACAAGGAGTTGTACAGGTCTGAGGGACTGTGCACTGCGGCAGAACCAGGAAACTCAAGTCATTACAGGTTTTATGTGAGTTCGAGGTCTTTAAATCATGAAAAGAACGAAAATTGTTATCAAATATTTGAATGAACAATCTTATCAACACGTTTTGTTCTTATTTCACTCTCCAATATTTTATTCAAGCCCCGGATTATCTTTCAAATATGATCTAGATCCTTTTTTGCCAGTTTTTTAATCTGGTAATTTCCCGGGCCTTAATTAATCAATTTTTTTTACCAAAAATTTGTATTTATAAATTGTTATTGTTGTGTTGAGAAAGAGAGGCTCGTGTTAGTGTAAAATAGTCATTATAACACCAATTCATCATCTTCAACTACTCGAGTTATCAATTAGTCTTAATTACATTTTTTAAAACGAATTTACAGGCATTATTCAGCAATCCAACAATGCTGATATGCTCCCTCCTGAGTCTTCAATTAGTTCTCGTAGCAGTGCAATTACTCATACTATTAAGAACCGTCGAGTGGTACCAGGTACTCTCAATGACACTGCTACTCGTTACCAATTACTACACTCTCTTCAAACTAGCGAGGGACTACCTCATATGCTGGAAAGTTTACCGAGCTGAACGAATTGTACAGGAGAGAGCACAGGCTGCCATAAACGTAACTCAATAGTCATGTACCTTGTCACTTGAATAATTAATACGTAAGAAGAGCTGTTTTTCTTTTCTCTTGTGATAAATGATAAAATGTGATTGATGAATTACGACTTCTCATAGTTCTCATTTACTACCAAAAAATAAACTGTAATTAAACATATTGATTGTGATTAAAAATCAACCCAAGTGATGGGAATTAATAATATTATTTGGAATAAGTTCGTCTTACATTAGACTGTATAAAAAAGTAATCGTGATACGTTTCTTGATCTGTTGAAAAAAATAAATTAGTTGATTAATAACGAGATTCTCCAATTTGTAAATATGGGTGGATAAAAATTTCTCTAGATTCGATAACAGTTTCTAATTAATTCTTAAAGTTAGTTTTCTCTTTTTCTCATGATATGAAAAGGCAGTGGGGTAATTTACAAGTGAGTTTTCTTATTTACGATTGGGTAACGCACGAAAAAAATGATTATAAAGTTTCAAATTTTATTTTTTTAGAATATTGAGGTATTCTATATAGAAAAAGATATTTGGTAGAAAATGATCTGATGAAGAATCATTGAAAACTAACAGATTTACGATTATTTTATTCGGCATTGCATTCAATTTTTATTCATAGAAATCCCTCAGTATGAGATGAAAGAAGCTTTGGGAAATTACTGGAGAAATTTCTACTATAAAATTTGTCATATATTCAGAGTTTTCTTTACTATTCAACATTTCTATTCATTTGAAGAAGTAATAATAGAGTAGTTCAGCCGAATTTCCTCGTAAAAGTGCAACTTTCTACTGAATTTCTTGATGCATGTGGAAATAGATAAACAGAATCTGTCAATCGATCTGCAACATTTATATACAATCCGAAAAATAATTCTCATCTGCGTAATAAGAATGAATAACTGCAATTAAAAATATTGATTGTGATTAAAAATCAACTCCAGTGATTGCAATTAATAATATTATTTGGAATAAGTTCGTCTTACATTAGACTGTATAAAAAAGTAATCGTGATACGTTTCTTGATCTGTTGAAAAAAATAAATTAGTTGATTAATAACGAGATTCTCCAATTTGTAAATATGGGTGGATAAAAATTTCTCTAGATTCGATAACAGTTTCTAATAAATTCTTAAAGTTAGTTTTCTCTTTTTCTCCTGATATGAAAAGGTATTGGGTTATTTTACAAATGAGTTTTCTTATTTACAATTGATTAACGCATGAAGAAATTCATTATAAAGTTTCAAATTTCAATTTTTTTTAGAATATTGAGGTATTCTAAATAAAAAATATTTGATGGAAAATGGTCTGATGAAAAATAACTGAAAACCAACAGATTTACGATTATTTTATACGACTTATTGTCCGAAAGATGCTTTTGAAAAAATAACTCGAGAAATTTCTACTATAAAATTGTCATATGTCCCCTGTTTTCTTTACTGTTCTCTTCAATTTCATTTCATTTCTATTCATTTCTATTCAATTTCAAAAAATAATAATAAAATAGCTGAGTAGAATGTCCTCGTAAAAATGCAACTTTCTACTGAATTTCTCCATGCGTACGAAAATAGATAAATAAAATCTGTCAATCGATATGAAACATTTATATACAATCCGAAAAAATAATTCTCATCCGCGTAATGAGAATGAGTTCAGCGAACGACGTTCAGAGAAATAGTCATATTTTTGGGGAGACGTTGGGCCAGACCATCGGCGACGTTTTGGGCTAATTCATGCCACACGTATTTTCCTTTGATGGGGACCTCCTCGAGGGGAGGACGGAATGATACGAGCAGGGTGAAACAGAGGCCGTCACCACCACCTCCTCCACTGAATTCTACGGACAGAAGGCCATGGGGTCGATGTTGAGCCACTCCATCGCCGAAGACTTCCTAAAAAATAAAAAGGGGAGGGCAAAATAATTAAATGACTTTTTTGTTCTCTCATTAGCTCGCCAATCAATTGAACTGTAAATACTCACGACCATGAATTTGTGCAACGTCGAGTGGAGATTCCTGTTGGGATTTATCTCACACACTGGGAGGTGGAGGGACGTTTTCTCTGATAACAGTACGTGCATTCGGTTCCTAGAATTTATTACACAATTTATAATATCTTTAAGGATATCCAAGTGTCTTTTACAGTTTGGCACAGACGACACTGTAAATTCAACCATTTTTAGTTATCAAATTGTAAATTAAATTGCGTGGGAAAATTTTTTTAATAATTTAATCATTTTGGCAGTTTCAAGAATCTATTAAGAATGAGATACGATTGGAGTTATTATTTTAGTTGGTAAAGAAAGTTATAGACACCAATGAACAGTGATTTATTGAAGAAGAGAGAAAAATTCCATTTGCATCAACTGGTGTTACGACAGAGTGAATTCTTAAGCCGCAAGTTAAGAAACTCACAATTTTAAAATGTTGATATCTCCGTTATAATAATAAAATGGGATTAAAAATCCCTTGACTGAGATTTCGGATGGTTAAAAAAACAATAAAAATGCATAAATTATAGTAATGTCTTAATATTTCACTGAAATGTCGGCAATTAAAAGAATAGATACAATGGAAATGGCATCGATCCTATGCTCGTTTTGCAACCAACTGTCAACTGGTATCGGACTAAACGGATGAAAAAATCATTCATGTTTGAGACTTTCAAATTCGAACCAAACAAATTCATTTTTGGCAATTTTCAAAACTAGCGATTTTGTTGGCCCAAACAAGACTTGTTTGACAACGTGTTTTTCTCTCAGCGTAGGGATACACCTTACATATTACAAAACAAGTGAAAATTGAGGACCTACGTAGCTTTTCTCTTGATGCAAACAATGAGCCTGAGAAAGAGTTTCTCCCTGGATTTGTCCGCTGGCAAAATGGGACTGTGCCAAGGTGGATTAACGCCCTTTCTGTAGTCCCGTCCCCTCTGAATGAGTGGCAGGATGTCGGCCGATCTCAGGGACAGATCCTCCACGTTCTTCACCCAACTTGCCTGGAGGGACTCTGCATTGGCCTGGTCTGGGGTCTTGAGAGTTCCCCCAGTGACTTCCCCGGTCATGACGAACCTGAACCAGGAACCACTGGCGCACTCCACCATTATCAGTGACTTGGGCTCCATCGAGAGCCCGGTCTCCTCGAGGACCTCTCGTTTCACTGCGTCGTAGAGGTTCTCGTTTGGCTCCACTCTTCCCGCTGGGAGGTACCACTTGCCAGCGCAGGAGGCTTTCGCCTCCTGGATCATGAGGACTTCCTCGTGCTCGTTTATCAGAACTGCTGCCACTATGTATGTCACGGTTTTCTGACAGATTGGGACGTAGTTGGAACTCGCCGTTGGTTGAATACCTCGAGCCTCTGTGTAAAACACGTAGGAGAGAGTGGAGCAAAATGACGCCATTCAAGCAAAAAAAAATTTTTCACCATTTTTTGCTTCCGAATGGAAACTTTATAATCGCGCGATTTTTCGATTCTCCAGTTTTACTAGGCAGTGACTTGGAGTGTCATGGAAAGTCGAGATATGATGTTTTTAGGGAATGTCTGGGTGTACGTCCGTATGTGCGTACAAAATTCTGGCAATTTTTTTTATAAATTTTCACAGAAAAAGGACGATTGTACCTCTAATCACTACCGCACAATTCATTATACCATTTGATTACGGCACAATTTAATTAGTACAGCACATTTCATCACAACAATAATTCATCATCATATTTCCATCATCACAATTTGAATTCAATGCATCGTTCATATGACGATCAAAAATTGCGGCTTACTATGAGCCATTCCACGCAAATACTCAACGATATCGGCATCTTCACTCCACTCCATAACGACTGTAAAAAGCCGGGCATCATAATCGATGTACTTCTTCCTTTTAGGACGTATCATCAATCGACCAGCATTGTATTGTTCCAAAACTTCCGTAATGAATTGTCCATATGATGAAAAATGCTATAATCAATTGTCCCCGTAATGACTTTTTGTAATGAAATGTGCCGTAACATTACACGACTGTAATGAATAGAGGTGATACCAAAAAGGACCAGTGAAAATAAAAATCTGAAATTTTGGCTCATAATTGGTATTGTTTGGGAGCACACAGCGATTCCGAAGAAAAAGAAAAAATTACGTTTTGTTATTTTTATTCGTCAGAAAGAGGCTTTAGAAGAATACAATCTTCAAACTGTCCCCATTGATTTGGGTTTCCCTTCACACATGCAGAATATAAAGATGTTTTCGTAAATAATTGATATGGTTTTGTACCTTCAAAATTTAATTTTATTAAGGCTTCTTATACGACTTTCTCATCATTCAAGTTCTAAAAAATTTTTTTCAATGCTTCATGTATGCGTAAACTCGTCGGGCCGACGAATGAATTCCCATAAATAATAAAACATTTTCCACGTACCAATCGCCTCATTCTGCTCAACAAGAGTGAAATCACAGAGCTCATCGCTGTCAGCAAGGCTCAAACCTCCCAGAACTTGTTTAATTTTCTGTTCAATAACGTCCGGCATTTTTCACAACTTCAATGAACAATTTGAACGCTCAACGAAAACGACGAAGAGGAAAATAATCGAACGAGTTTCAACGACTTCCGTAACGAAATACCAATACCGAGTTAATTACACGTATCATAACTGTTTCACCGGTGGATGCCTGGCTCGTAACGTCATAGAGTGAGCACGTTGCCTCGCCTTCACATTGCACCTAAACCACGTATACCGAGCGGTGGAGATAATATTCACAGCGCGTTCGAGGGACTTTTTCCTCCTAGCTCGGCGCAACAACAACCGAGACAAGTCCACCTGCATTCTGGGTCATTGAGGTAGTTTGGGTGGTGGTGGATGTGTTGTGCTTTCATGATCTTCAGTGCGGGTTTTCACCGCGAACTGCAGCGTGACGACTACTGGCGGGATTTCCACGGACGAAAAAATTTAATAGGAAAAACCTATCGAATTCGTTAGAAAATTCAATAATAGTATATTTCGTAACGAGTGCAAAAAAGTGTTTTTTTGGCGAGTGGGAGGTTTATATCACGAGCCGAAGGCGAGTGATATAATCCCACGACCAAAAAAACATTTTTTCACGAGTTACGAACAATATTTTTCATCACAATGTGGCGGAAATTGGACTTTTAGGCACGCGGAGCGTGCCGAAAAGTTCACTTTTCGCCACAGCATGATGAAAAGAGTTGTTATCGGCCTTGCGGTAAAAAAAACCATTGAATCTACGTTATCCAGGGAGATGCCCTCATTCGCTTCCTTTAAGCAAGAACTGCGGAGATGGATGCGTGATCTTGAAGTATCTTCCTAATTCAGTTGGCCATCTGCTCGTGTCTTGTAATTTCTTCAACTCACTTGCTTACTCTCTAGCCTCTTTTCTTTATTTTTTGCTTCATCTCTTGCTGTGCTTTATTTTGCTGCTTCTTATGTACATATGTTATTTTCCATGTAATCACTTTGTTTAATATCCTAAACAATAAACATCTAATCTAATCGATTGACATCACGTGGTATAAGCTACAGGGTTTTCAACTGATAATTTTTTGATAATTTTCTCTGGTAGTTGCTATATAAAAAACAAAACATCATGCAGTCGAATTAACCCCTCGTCAAACTGACAGATTGAATTCAATTGTGGTAATCCGAGGATTTCTATTCGAAATGAGTGTTAATTATACAATTTTCGTTTCTCAATTGTGAGTTTCGTCTCATGGTTCAATTATATTGCCCGACATTGGGATTGGAAAAATAATCCCCCGAATACCACACGAGAGCTTCAAAATTAATTGGACATTTTCCTGAAGGTTCCCTGCATACAAACGAAGTCGTCAAGTTTTTCAGGAAAAATCACTCGCACTCGTGATTTTTTAACCTGAAAAACTTGACTCCTTCGTTTGTTTGCAACGAACCTATCAGAAAATACCCGATAATTTTGAAGCTCTTGTGGTATTACAAGTGAATAAATTTGAATTCTACCGCCTCGCCCTGGTCGATACAGTAGCAATCCAGTTATCCCACCTCGTAACTAATCATTTCCTTGACTCCCATGATGTCAGTGACACTCGCGTGCATCCGTCGTGTGTTGATCGCTCCTCTCCGGTCGCCGGTGGGTGAGTACCGCTGAATCATCTCATTCTTCCACATCGTCGCCCCCATGCCCAGTGGCAGCCACTTCCCCGATTGGTGGGGGCAAGGGAAACAAGTGTGCTCTTCTCTCCTCCGCTGTCACATGAAGCAACAACGTGGTGGTGGAACGATGTGGATGGACCAGCCCTGAGGTGCGGAATTGACAATTTGATTAAATCGACAGTTTTCCGGGGCTCAGAATTTGGGAGATGAAAAACAACACAATGATCGGTGCCCATCAGTGAGTGGATTCACTTGTTGTGTGCGCGTGTATGTGTGCGTGCGTGTTGTGTGTGTGTGTTGTTTTACTGGAGACGCTTTAAAGTCCCTTCCACACGCGTGGGATAGCACTGTATTGGTCAGTGGTAAAATGGCGGCGGCATTGACTGTCGAACAGGAGCAAGTAAGTACAACAGTCATTATTAGCTCTATTTAATCCATTTTGACGTTTAAAATCGTCACGGAGACGTCGACAAGATCGTGACAAATTCGTTGCATGCATGGCTCGTAGCACAGATCACCTGTAAATCAATTGAGAAACATTTTAAATTGCGATTTTATGCAGTTGTCCAGCATGGAACGACAACTTCCATAAACAATTAAAATAGTGGAGTGATAAAACAGGATGAGTCAACTCCGAATTTCGCTGAATATCTCTGAACCCAAGCGAGACAGCGAAAATTTCGTCGATATCTTTTTTGCAGAGGAGAATCAGAGCTACAAAGTTCTCCTCGCGAAGATTTTTGTATCTCCGACGGATTTCGAGATAATCAGGGAAAAGTGATGGAATAAACTTCTGTTCTGTTTTACCACTCGACTGAAATGCTCATTGCGCTCTTATCAGTCGTGACAGAGTGCATCCTTCATCCTCTTCGTGGGAATCAATAATTGCACGTCAATGTTTCGCGTTTGTATTTAATTTGTCGGGGGTTTAAATTCGTGTTGATCCTCATTTATAATTTATTTCGTGTCGGTTTGCACGTTTAATTGTCCTCTGATGACACGGGGAGACGAGACTCGCTGGGTGTTGAATAGTCGGGAAAATAGGAAGGGAATTATAAATAACGAAATTGATTCTTCTCTTCGGGAAGAGCATCTCACGCATAAACGGGTTTTACCTCGAATTTCTCGGGACGGAGGGTGGGGTACCGGAAGTTATTGATGGGTGAGGGGGGTGGACAGAGCTCCATAAAACCTATTCTAACGTTTGAAATCGTCATGAAGTCGTCGATAAGATCGTAAAAAATTCGTCGCATGCATAGCTCGGAGCACAGATCACCTGTAAATCAATTGAGAAACATTTTAAATTGCGATTTTATGCAGTTGTCCAGCATGGAACGACAACTTCCATAAACAATTAAAATAGTGGAGTGATAAAACAGGATGAGTCAACTCCGAATTTCGCTGAATATCTCTGAACCCAAGCGAGACAGCGAAAATTTCGTCGATATCTTTTTTGCAGAGGAGAATCAGAGCTACAAAGTTCTCCTCGCGAAGATTTTTGTATCTCCGACGGATTTCGAGATAATCAGGGAAAAGTGATGGAATAAACTTCTGTTCTGTTTTACCACTCGACTGAAATGCTCATTACGCTCTTATCAGTCGTGACAGAGTGCATCCTTCATCCTCTTCGTGGGAATCAATAATTGCACGTCAATGTTTCGCGTTTGTATTTAATTTGTCGGGGGTTTAAATTCGTGTTGATCCTCATTTATAATTTATTTCGTGTCGGTTTGCACGTTTAATTGTCCTCTGATGACACGGGGAGACGAGACGCGCTGGGTATTGAATAGTCGGGAAAATAGGAAGGGAATTATAAATAACGAAATTGATTCTTCTCTTCGGGAAGAGCATCTCACGCATAAACGGGTTTTACCTCGAATTTCTCGGGACGGAGGGTGGGGTACCGGAAGTTATTGACTGGCGAGGGGGGTGGACAGAGGAAGGGGCTTCGAGCCACCGGAAGCAATGCCAGTGCTCCAAGCATGTATTTAAAAAGAGGAAAAAAAACATCTTAAATAGACACTCATGCGGGGGGCGATCGGGGGAGCTGCAGGTCTTACCGGAAGAGAACATCATCAATCTTGAGAGTATGTGGGAATTACTTTCCCCTGAGTTCCTGGGAATCTGCGGTATTCATGTGTCGTCAGAAATTTTTACAGGGAAACGTCATCCAATCGGGAATTTGTGGGTTTCTACCGGGGGTTCCAGGTAGGGACATGATAGTCATTCATTCATAGTCGGGGTCTGAGTTCATTTTCTGGCGAGAGGAGATCGGTTAATTGCGGTGGGAGAGTTGAAAATTATCGTGAATGAAAATCAATTCAAATTTGTTATTTCATTCACGTTTGATGGTCCTGTTGAATATTTTATTTTATTTTGTTTTAAAATATTTCTGATGAGGATTTTTTTATTATTGATTATGAATGGTGAGGAGGGGAAAGGCCGAGATTTTTTTCGCGTGAGAAAATTCCCGAAGATGATTGAAAATTCATTGAAGTATGAAAATTCGAAATGCAAAGGCCTTTCACTCCACTATTCGCATTAATTTCAGGCCCTTCTCTGTAATTTTTCCATACGTCATAACCGCTTCTTTAAAGAACCATAAAATTAATTTAAGCCGGCGTTTAAACAATTTAAAACAACTGATTGTCCTCCCTTCCCCCCTTATCCGATTATTTTTTGAATATCGACTCCTACTCTTTCCAAACCCAAGAAAATAACGAGAATTTATTAATGAATAAAAAAAATTAAATTATAACATAAAATTAAATAAACAATAACAAATAAAGAAATAATAATAATAGTAATATTGTTTTAAATTTTTAATTTAAAAAAATTCTCATTTTTTATTGTTTTCCAATTTTTTTTATAAAATTAAATTATAGCATTATTATTATCATTAATTTATTTATTTCTTATTTAATTTATTTTGTTTTTTTCTTCGGTTTCAGTTACGGAAATAATATTCATTCATTGTCTGACTAGAGTTGTCAATTATGATGAATCAAATTCAATTCAAATGATTTATTTTATTCACATTTGATGTTCCTGTTGAATATAAAATATTTCTAATGAGGATTTTTTTATTTTTGATTATGAATGATTATGAATGATGATAGGGGAAATGCCAAGAGACTTTTTCCGCCTGAAAAATCAAATAAAATTTCCGAATATGATTGAAAGTTCATTGAAGTATGAAAATTCGAAATGCAAAGGTCTATCACTCCACTATTTTCATTTATCTCAGGCCCTTCCCTGTAATTTTTCCACACGCCATAACCACTTCTTTAAAAAATCCTAAAATTAATTTAAGAATCCCACATGCGACTCCTCCACCGGATCATTTTGTAATCCGTTAAGACCGGATTACCGGCGTTTAAGCAGTTTAAACGAACCGATTACCCCCCCCCCCCCCCC